TTATAGTAATTATATGTATCGGTAAATTGAGTAAATGATTTGCTGTAATAATCATTAAAACGAGAAAAGTATTATAACATCATTCTCTACCATTCATTTGATAACCATTTTTACAAATAATTATTTTATTTCTATTTGCAATTTGCTTTCAGACTATTACGAGTAAATGTCAAAACAAAAAATATAAGCATTACGAATAACTTAGGACTTATTGACAAATACAGAATTTTGTTGAATTGACATACAGTTAATATAACTATAGCAACTCTATTCAAATGTATTCTAATTTATTTACCAAAACTTGAGAATAATAATTACCGTATAAAACATAAAGACTTCGATTTATTCCTACAATTGATTTATTAAAAGTATGGGTACATAATGAGTGCAGTACTTTTGTATTTTATTACATTAAATCACAGAATAGAGTACAGTATTTAAAAGAATTAATGGGAAAATGATTTTTCTATAGTTTGACGTAAAGAATTTAATTATTTCAAATATAACCAATTGATTGAATCTATTATTTGTTATTCAATATAAAGTCTAGAGTATTTCATAGGAGTTAAGTAACTTTCAAATAGAAAGTAATACTTGAATGGCTGGCTCATGGGGTATAAAGCCGTTATTCACCAATCTCAATTTGAATGCTTGGGCATTTTGGTAAATACTTGTATTTCTTTACGATAACATAATGTTAATTCTATTTGAAAATAATTACAGGATTGTTATGTTTGTAATGATTGTCACTTTCTTTGCATTTACAAGAATTGTGTATTTAATTTGTCTTAAAAAGTTTACGAGACATCCAATTAGTGTTATAAACTTGAATGAAGAGAACAATCAAGACTCGACTCAAGCAATATATGCCTCAGTTATAGCTCCACATTATTTCTATCACACCGGTATGTTTAAAACTATAGTTATTTTAAATAAATTAAGTATTTATACTGTAGTTTCATTTATAATATTAATGTAATCCTCTATTAGAAAATGATTTAGGATTATAAAATTACTAATAAATTCATAAACAGTTTCTTTATAAATTAGAAAACTTTTTTAAATAAACAAAAATGCCTAAAATTAAGCTCTCTCTCTCTCTCTCTCTCTCACTCACTCACTCACTCACTCACTCACTCTCTCTCTCTCAAAAGGTGAAAATATAACCGAATCAGTGAATGCAATGAATGGTGAGTCTAATAAAAATGTAAAATATTTCGAGAAGTTATTAAAAAAGGATGATGTCTTCGATGGCGTCGATACTGTGAGTGAATCGTGTGATACAAAGACATTAGCCATCAGACCATTAACTCCGGCCTATAAACCACACGAAGAAGTGCCCAAAGAAGATCCGCTCGGATTCCTATTAGTTCCGCCCGGATTTGTCGCCAATTTAGCCAATACTCACACCTCTAATAATAATTATAATAATAATAATGTAATTCGTATTGAAAGGACAACTCATTCTGCTTGAAGTCTATTAAAATTTCTAATTTAAAAATATTTAACTTATAATAAAAATAAATTGTATTTTTGCTTGACTTTTAAAAATAGTTTGTTTGAAATTTAAATCTTCTTTTATAAAAGCTTTTATATGAATGAATCGGTATTTAAATCGGGATCTATCATAACATCTTGCTTATTATATACCATAATTGTGTGCCAATGACCAACACTTTGATAGAATTTGAGAGAAAATGCAATAGAAATATATGTCAAATAAAAATAGACACAATTAGTGGGAAATGTGTAGGAATGCAATGGGAATAGTAGGGGTCAGCCCTAGCCTACAGTCACAAGCAATCATAAAAGCAATACTTATCACACAATTGTTTCACTCCAACCCTATTATAGTCGGCAATAAAGTTTTCAAAAGTTTTCAAAAGTTTTCAAAAGTTTTCAATATATCGCAAATCACACCAAATTATATTAACACTTGTTTTCAATGGTCACATTCATTCAGTATTTCATATGATTGTCTACATTGCTCAATCATTATTATGTATTTAATGTATAGTACTTTATTTTCTAATGTGCATTAATTCTTCGTACGAATAATTTGTTTTACAATTGTATCAAATTGGTTGTGTGGACACGACCATGCTCAACCCATCACAATCATCATCATAGTTAAGACAACTTGAAGGCAAGTCATTTAATTTGAGGTATAGTATAGTCAATGAATATATAAATAGTGTCTATTCTGTTGAACACTCTCTTACACTTATAAGACACTCTTATGACATAATATACTATCGTCCATAACTTGTCTCGTATCTGACGTATCTGACCAGTGATCCCATACCCACTCACATACTTATCACCCGGTGTTAACCGCGCAATGTGTGTGTGAGTGACGTATGTGTGGCACAAGCGATGCATTGGTGCACATGAGGTGTGTTTGGCATACATTGCATTGCGTTGAAAGCGTGAGACGTCAGCGTCTATTTGCATGGAGTGCCAGAAGGGCTTAACTGGGTTCACATGTCACGCATTAGAGTGGGTGTAGTGTGCG